TTCCGAGGAGTGGCTGGTGGGTTTGAACCGCCAGCCGTCTGGTTAGCAGGCAAGTGTCTTAGCCACTATGCTACCAGAGCTCCCAAAGTGAATATAGCTGGGAATAATTGTAGCTGAATCCCTGAGAAATGTTACCATTTTAGGACTAGACAGCACTTTGGAGGCATGCAGGGCAAATACATCATTTTGTAATCAAGCAAGCAAAGTCACAAAACCAATGATGGCTAAACCTTCTTCTTCCTTCCAGGCCCTGATTTCTCTGGTCAGGTGGGAAAAATAGTATTTGGGATAATGTCTTGCAATTTCTTGAAAAAGAGCCAAGAGAAGAAAGACTACAAAGAATCTGGAATATCCATGACAAACCTCTCTGACTTGAATCTTCAAGAAATAGAATATTTATGGCATGATTTGGCTGACCTAAACATAGATTTCTTTTGTCCTTCAAAGTGGAAAAATGCAACATGATTACACAGGAATGAGAAAAATTCATTAAGAAAGAGGGAGAGGAATTCCCAAATTGCTAGTGCTGCTTAGACAGCTGGGCCAGGTTTATCATCCCTTAATTTTCCATTAAAATAATCATGAATCACAGGTAAGGACCCAAATATTATAAAAACTGTTACAAACTAAGCATCTTGTTCAATGCTCTGATAATCAAGAGAAATTACTACTACTCTGGTAGCGTAGTGCCTAAGGCACTTGACTGCTAACCAGAAGGCTGGTGGTTCAAACCCATCAGCCACTCCTCAGAAGGAAGGTGGGGCAATCTACTTCTGTATCTCCTTGGAAACCCAAAGAGGGGTCGCTATAATGCTGTAAGTTGGATCTGACTTGACGGCAATGAGTTAGGTTCATATATATATATATTTTTTTATATATGCATATGTATATGTATATGTATATGTGTATATACATATATATATATACACACACATGTTGTTGTTATGTGCTGTCGAGTCAGACCTGACTCATAGCAATGCCTCCTTGGGTTTCCAAGGCAGTATCACTACAAAAGTAGATTGCCCAATCTTCCTTCTGAGGAGTGGCTAGTGGGTTTGAACCGCCAGTCTTCTGGTTAGCAGTCAAGTGCCTTAGGCACTACCAGAGCACCTATATACACACATACATATATATAATATGTTGCTGTTGTCATGTGCCGTCAAGTTGGACTCGACTCATAGCGACCCTTCCTTGGGTTGCTGAGGTGGTATCACTATGGAAGTAGATAGCCCAACCTTCCTTCCGAGGAGTGGCTAGGGGGTTTGAACTGCCAGCCTTCTGGTTAGCAGTCAAATGCCTTAGGAAACT